ATTGGTAAGCTGGTCTATCTCATTATCACTCGTCCAGATTTGAGTTATGCAGTCCACATCCTCTCTCAATTTATGCAGGCACCTAAGGAGGCACATTATGAAGCAACCATTCGGGTCCTCAGATACATTAAAATGAATCCTGGTCAAGGAATTTTTCTTTCTTCCCACAGTGATCTCCAAATTCATGCCTTTTGTGACTCAGACTGGGCAAGCTGTCCTTTGACCTGACGTTCCATTTCTGGTTTTTTCATTATGCTTGGCACCTCTCCAATTTCATGGAAGACAAAGAAACAAATCACTGTATCCCGTTCATCAGCAGAAGGTGAATACCGCTCAATGGCTGCGGCAATGGCAGAATTAATATAGCTCAAGGCGTTTCTTGCTTCTTTAAATGTTTCTCATGCTACACCAATGGATCTGTATTGTGATAATCAATCTGCGTTACATATCGCAGCCAATCCTGTCTTTCATGAATGAACTAAGCACATCGAAATTGATTGTCATTTTGTACGGGAGCATTTAATGGCCAAGACAATTCAAACCCATTTTATTCGATCCCAGTTGCAGCGGGCTGATATTTTCACCAAAGCTCTTGGTCAAGCTTCTTTCCTTACTTTTCTTCCCAAGTTGGGCATTTCAAATCTTCATGCTCTAACTTGAGGGGGAGTGTTAGAGCAGAAGATTCCTAATATTATTGGCTGTTGTGATATGTATCTTATCTTGTATTTGTTAGGATTATTTCTGTACCTAGTTGCTAGGTTCTTATCGGATTGTTGCACCAACTTAGGATTAGCTTAGTTGTTATTAGTTTACTGATACGTAGCAACAACCTTTGTTATTATTTTGCTGATACGTTGCAATACGTTACAACAACCTCTTTTGTATCTTTGTGTATATAACATACACTTCATCAATGGAATCAACAACGAATGTTTGATGCCATTTAACAACGCCTAATTTAGGCGTGAATCATCTCGTGTTGACACGTGGCAAAAAGTCAACTTATGAACTGTAAAACTTTGGAAAGCCATAACTTTTGACTCGGGTATCCGAATGAGGTAATTCCTTTTTTGATTCCACATAACTTTTTGAGATCTACGCAATGACATCTCATTTGATATATTTTATCTCTCACAAAAAAAGAATTACCTCATTCGGATACCCGAGTCAAAAGTTATGGCCTTATAAAGTTTTACGGTTAAACTTTTAATTTTTTGTGTCACGTGTCAACACCAGACGAGTCACACCTAATTTAGGCGTTAATGCCTTAGGAGTCACGCCTAATTTGGGCAAGAATGACTGCAATAAATTCAAAAATAGTTTCCAAAATGTTACTAATTCGTAATTAATTATTAAAAGTGTAATATTTTAATTTTTTTGCCAGAGAGGGGGAACATAGTGAAAAGTTAAAAACTTTAAGGGAAAGTGAAATGGCCAAAGTGAGCACAATCCACAATGAAGCTCAAAGTACTCAAAATTTTCATCTTTCTTCTGATTCACACAAACCCACTTTAGCAAACTTTGGGTTGTTCAATTAGGGAACAACTTTGGGGGCTCCTCAAAATCTTGGAGCTTGGTGCATAAAATCGGACGCTTTGTTGGAAATTTTGTTGTGAGTAGGGCGACTTGGGTGTATTTAAGGTTTCTGCATTTGTTGCCACCGCAAAGAAGATGGACAGCGCCGGAAATCATGTTGGAACTCATAAGAGAAATCTCTGATACCAGTCCAGGGAACTAGATAAGGACCTCTTGGTCCTCTTTGGTGGCGACCGGTGGTGTGGAGGAGCTGATAGGTTCGGGGAAGAAGTCTTCAACAAGTTTGCTGATGTCGAGGTTCCAGAAAGCCAGTGCCCATGGAGTTTCTCTCGTTTACCCCCGCCAAGATTACAATGGTATATGATTTTTGAAAACCATTCCAGTGCCAAGGCACTGGCTGGCCTCAAGGTGGCTCCGCCACTATATCACTGTACATCCTCATTAGTCTCATGGTACCTTGCCTCATTCTTTCCCATGCTTGGAGTGTTTCTTCTACAAGATGGACTACTTCTTCATTGTTCAATGGAGCTATTATTTCTAAATCATATATTTTGGCTAGTAGTGGTTTTGAAGGGCCCTTTGGGCTTTGGGATTTTATCTAGTAGTTAACTTTCATCGGCATAGACAAGTTCCTTCCTCCCAATATGGATTATTTAAAATGTTTGCGGATTACATAGTTATAATGGATAGTAGTAAAAAAAGTGATAGTATGAATATCTTACCTTTTAAGATATTAATACATTTATCAAATTCAAGACAAGTCAGTTTTATTATAGATATATGAATTTGTAAGAAAAAAATGATATTTCTAAGTGTTCATTTTTACAAACAATGTTGTGAATATTGTCTTATTGGAAGGTCAAATTTAGTTGCTAATTTGCAACTTTAATTGTAATTTTTCTCTCAACATTGTTAAGATGATTTTTGTGTGTGTGTGTGACAATTTGGTATAAATTTTAGAAAACAGAGTTTGATGAAAAAACACAACAACATTACAATATGAAATTCTTATCTTTACAATTATCTTTTTAGGAAAAAGTGTTTGTCATTTTAAATAACATAACTTTGTGTCATTTTTAATGAGACTATGTCATTTTGGTATTTTTTTTGTATTTTCTATATTTTTACTTTTTTATAAAATTAGGAAGAAAAGAAAGTGGATGAGACAGAATGTAAAAACACATAAAAACAACGTAGTTTCATTAAAAATGACATAAAGTTGTGTCATTTAAAATGATAATTTTTTTTTTCTTCTTTTTATAAGGATAAAATAGACAATTTAATTTAATTTTTAAAAGAGTTAGAAGATAGACTAAATGAAAAAAAACCATATTGTTATCAAAAAAAAAAAAAAAAAAAAACCATATGGGGGTAAATGATACCATAAGGGAATAACTGATTCTAGGAGAGTTTTATAATTTGATCAAAATAAATTTATAATTACAAAAATAATATTGGATGAGAGTTTTATTTAATCTTAATCTAAGGATAACAAATAAGGTTATAGGAAATTTTTTTATAAATATAACCTACCTTATTATTTATTAAAATATTATTTTAAATTTTTGTAATAAAAATACCTTAATTACAAAATTATCGAAATAAAAAAAAAAAGATAAAGAAAACGGGAAGGGAATTGAAACAGAGATGGAAGAAGGGTGTAAGATCCGCCTCTAATCGCAATTTCCGGTAGTAAGAGAGTGTATTGGACTGAAATTTTAAAAAAAATTAATGGATTTTTTGGTTCAAAAAATATATATTGATATTCAATTAGAATTTTAAAAGATTACTTTAGAGTTCGTTCAAATCATTTGGGATTAAATCAGGATTTTAAACAAAGGAAAAATAATCGTGAGGTATTCAAAAATCTGACGATTTTAATCTATTTTTTATTGGTGTGAATTTTACGAGACTTTTTAGTGAGAAATATAAAGAGGATATATTCTTGAGATTTTTTTTATTGTAGTGTCTTCTTCTTCCTTCGACTGGTTGACCCGCTCGAAACCGAGTTCTGCCATTGGAGTTTCTTCAAAAGCTTAAAAATAGATTTTTGAGCGATTTTTTTTTTCATAAAACAACACAAAAATAACAAACCAACAAGATTATGTAGATATTTTAGCAATTTTTGAGAGCTTTTGAAAGTTTAAAAGATGATTATTCAAGCTATGAGTCACGATTTTTTTTGGCACAAAAATGTGTTATTTTTGTATGAGTAAATACTATTTTTGGTTCTCATCAAATTTTATGATGTCCGCTTTAGTCCTTAGCAAATAAAAAAGCTATTCATGGTCCTAAAAAATTCAAAGTAGACCCATTTTAGTCCTTTTGAGGGACTAATATGGGTCAAAAGGACTAAAATAGGTCTACTTTGAATTTGTGAGGGACCACTTTTCAACTAAATAGGTCTATTTTGAATTTCTTAGGGACCATGAATAACCTTTTTAATTGCTAGGGACTAAAGCGGGTATCGTGAAATTTACTGAGGACCAAAAGTGGTATTTACCTTTTTTGTATTAAAAACAATATAGAGCAGTGGGGAAATAATAGGGGAACTAAAACCCTCGAACCAATTTTCATTTTACAATATCAATTTAAAGAAAAACTGAAATTTTCATAATATGAACCCTATATTTCGTAACAATACATTCATGAACGAAATTCCTTCGCTAAAAGAAACGATTTCAAACAATTTTGTGTAAATAGATAATAAAAACTTGTTTTTCAAAAGCCGAAGTAATTTAAGGTTTCAATGTATCGATTGACAATAATTTAAGTAATTTTCTGAACTTTCATGAAATAAAATCCAAAATTTCATATTCAAAATTTTCTTAGAATACTCAATGAAAACATGCATATGATATATGGTTATAAAACTCTCATCACGTAGAAGAAAAATTCCCAAATTTTCAAGATTAATTGCAAAAAATTTCAAACGAAATTTTATCATGAACTTTAGGTTCTATATGCAACTTTAGAATTATTTTACTAATTAAAAAATTGAATTTTATAATTATATATGCATAGCTGTGATACCAAATGAAAAAAAGATAATTTTTAACCCGTTGGTCAAACCCAAGAGCAGAAAATGCTAATGCGATGCGTGGAGTTTAGAATAACTTTATGTACGTAGAGAGTCGTTGCTTAAAATTTTTAATTATTTGTTAAAAATTATATTATATTTTACTAATTGAAAAAATTATATTAAATTTTATTTTTTTATTAATATCATTGCATTTTTTTTATTTTTTATTGAATTTTATAATCTTAAATGTTTGTTAAAAATTCATATAATTTTTTAAATCTTATAAATTTTATTAAAATGCTTTGAAATTCAATCTTATAAAATTTTGTAAAATAATCTTTTAAAATTTATAAAACTCTTTTAAAATCCTAATCCCCTAAGTACGAGCTTCTAAGTTCTAATCCGTTTGCTCTCAGTTCCAAACTCGATTTGTTGCGAACGAATGAAATTTTAGCTCAATTAAACGGTAACGTTCGCATGCTCGGAGTGTTGGATTTGCGTTCAAAGGAACTCACTCGGTTTGTTGTTTTCCGCTGAAGCGGAAAAGGAGAAGAAGAAATGGCTTCGGTTGATGTTATCAAATCTTGCATCGATTCCATTAGACAGGTACCAAAAGGCCTCCAACCTTAACAACCAAGCCTTTTGAATTAGAATGTTCAATTTAAGTTTAACATTATGTCTGTTTTTGCTTTCGCAGAATGAATAATAGAATTTTGATATTCTCTTTTCATGATAATTATTTATTTTGGGAATATTTACTAAACTTCAACTATTTAAAGCTAGTTTTATATTTGGACTGAAAATTAAGAATCGATTGGATATAGGTATTATAAAGGAATATTGAAATAAGGGCTTTGATGCATGTATTGTTGTTACTGGAAAGTTAGCTATATTCCACTTCACGATGTTCAGTTACTACTTTACTGGCCAAATTCAACAATGGGAGTGATTGAATGAGTCTTGGGTCTATATTAGTGTCCCAGGAAACCAATATTAAAACTTAAGAAACCATTTTTAGATGAAGAGCCATGGTTTGCTTATGATCAGAGCTATATCAGGTCCTACTTAATGTGGTTTAAGAAATTATTTTTGGCCTTAGAGTTCTGGTGTGAATTTTGGAGGTGTTTGGATGGACCTTAGTGAGAATTTGAAGTCCAAAAGGCAAGAAGTTTTTGCAGAACTAACTGTATATTGAGATTGTTAGAGGTGATCTTGGGTATGTTTGTATAGCTCCAGGGAATATAGCACCTATGTTGAGATATATAAAAAACCATTAATATAGCCTCACCCAACAACTTAAGCTTTTGGGTTGAATTGGTTCTTTACATGGTATCAGAGCCTCGTGTCCCGTCTTCGATCTTCACCGCCCCCCACTTTCTTTCAAGTGAAATTTCTTTCTTCGCACAGGTAGGTGGGCCTGTGCATTGTCCACCCTTCAAGCCCAGTGGGCTTTCGTGTGAGGGGGTGTGTTGAGATATATAAAAAATCATTAATATAGCCTCACCCAACAGCTTAAGCTTTTGGGTTGAATTGGTTCTTTACAACCTACAATGCATTGCTCTTGTGCTTCATCCAAGTCTATATATATATATATATATATATATATATATATATATATATATATTTTTCATATTTAACATCAAACTACGGAACTTGCATTGGTCTTGCAGTTACAATTCAGGCTAATTTCCATTACCATTGTTTTTTGACAATGGTTTCTTACTGTAGTTTTTTGGTTGCAAATGTTGTGGTCAGCAATCACCAAAGGAAAGATAAAAAAAGAATTAAAGAAATAAAGGAAATTACTGTGAATTGCAACAGGCAGCTTATTGATATTAGATGCTTAAATGCCCTCAACGGTTTTTGTAATGGTATTCATCCCATACTGTTGCTAGATCCTTACTATTTTTTAAATTGATTTCCTCTTATCAAATTTTTATTCCTTCATGTGCATTTCTTTGTTTGGTTTAAAGATACTATAACGTGATTAAACTTTGTTTTCCTTTGATTAACTTGAACTTGTTGGCATCCTTTGCTCTATTGATGACTGCATACAGAGGGTCGTTCCCCCCCCCCCCCCCCCCCCCCCCCTAAATTTTAAGCTCAATCTTTTGTATTTATCACCGCGTAGTTTTATTTAATTATCTTCTCTTAAACACTAAATAAAGCTATCCATATTTTGACATAGTGGGGGGCTAATATGGTTGAAGTTATGCATCTTATGCTGCACCCATGAATTTGAATTTTCTCCTGTGAATATTACTTATTTATACTTGTTACAGCTGTAACTATGCGATCCTTTTTAATTTGACTATTTCATGAATGTTAATCATGCTATGTCTTTTTCAGATATCAGAGCATATTGAAGGTGCTATTGTTTATTTAGATGCTGGATCTACGGAGAGTTTCCAATTTATCGGGGCATATCCTGTACTTCTAGATCTTGGAGCACGAGCTATATGCAGTTTGGAAAACATGTGTGCACTTGATTTGGTAAGTAGTAGTTGCATATTTTCCCCAAGTTGTCTTTCTGTGCTTACAGTAAGCTACCAAGATTTAATTTTCATTGAAAGGCTAGCATTTGTTTATTAGAAAATTGAGGATGTTACTATTTTCCTGTTTTAGAATGATTATATCACATGCTACGATATGGAATGATATTTGTTGGTGATCAGAGTCTCGGATTTGCACTTTATGGAGACTTCCTCTAGCCAAAGTCTGAAGCCCAGTAATTGCTAAATATGTTATATCAGTGAATAGATAGATGACATTGACGTATATAAGCTTCAGTCAAGTTCAAGAGTAGTCCGATAATGGATATTTGTAATTGATCTAGTAGTAATTATTATTATATGTGAGGTTTAGAACTTTTGTTTGAATCTTTAAATTTTTATATATGGAACTGAAAATATTATTAAACCAAAAATTCTGAATTCCTTTATGTAATCATTAGATAACTGATACTCACTGAGTTGGCTAATAAATCTTCTGAGACTTTCTCAACTTGAATTTTTATATTATCCTTTGAACTTCTCCTTGTTATAAGGAGTATGCCAATATCCTATTGTCAATATTGTAATTCCTGCATGCCACTGGCAAGTCCTTTTGGGATACAGTGGTCTGAAGATCTCCAAGTGCTTGGATAGTTGGAAGCATGCCTATTCTCTTTGAGTGGTTGGATTACTCTTACTCAAACCTGTTTGTCCAGTATTCCCCTTCATTACCTTTCCCTCTCTTTGATACCTGTGGGAGTCACTGAAAGGTTGGAGAAAATTTTGAGGTACTTTCTTTGGTCTTATGTTCGTATGGCTCAGCAAAGCAGCAGAGACCATCTCATCAGTTGGGAGGTTTGTTGGAAGCCCAAGATTAAAGGGTGGATCAAGCCTTGGTAATTTGGTGTCCAGAAGCATTGCTTTGGCAGCTCAATGGCTATGGTGTATTTGTTTGGAGAGAAATGCCTGTATTTTTGAAGATGTCTATTTACCGTTACATCTGATATGGGATAAGAGCATATTTGTGGCCTCTCTTTGGTGCTCATTTCACGGTTGCTTTGAGGGTCTTTCTATTAATGATATATAAAGAGATTGGATTGCTCTGTTGCATGTTTAAAGCTTTGAGCTATTTTGATTCCTTATACTGCTCCAGATTACATTCTCTACTTTCTTTTACTAATATTTTCTTCTATTTCATAAAAAATTGTAATTCCTTCATATAACGTGAAATGTAGTCTTCTAAGACTGCAAAATTATAGCTAACATATAGTCCCTTGGTATGGCTGTAGTGTTTTCGTTCTGTGAGTGAATAGACCGAGTATGATGCATGATAGCTGTTTGTCTCTGTAAAAGATGTGAACTTTCTTCATGCCAAAATATGGAAGGTCATATTTTATCTTTCCTCTTCAGATCCCATTCATTAGACAAGATATTATTATTTTCACTATTATTTTAATCTCCTGAAATTCACTTCTTTGAACTTACAAAAGTTGAAAGTTTTAATGCTTACAGATAATGCCCCTCCATCCTTTTGCATAGTAAAATTATAGTTGATGCTGTATAAATCCAGGTGTGCCGTTGGCATGATATATTTATAAGTGCTTTTCATGTGCTGGCTCAGAATTTTGTGTGTTCAAAATATGTTTGTACTATGATAATCTATGATTACTTTTAGGCAGGCAACATTTATGATGATCTACTTTTATTAATGGTCCCTTGTCTAGGTTGTTGATTGGAACTCACGTTCTGATCCTGCGGGGAAGCTTGTAGTTATCACATCGCGTCTACTAAGTGATGCACATCGGTATATTTTACGCTGCCTGAGCACACATCAAGTTGTTCATCATTGCATTATATTTACATCTATCTCAGAGGTGCTTATTTATGATTACTGCTTGTCTCATGTCTTTTTAATTTCCTTGCTTGGTTGTATATTTTGTGGCATCATCGTTCCTTGTTTTGTAAATTTTGTGTTGGTTTTACCTCACTACTGAAAAAATGTGGTTTTACCTATGGATTTGAATGTCTCATTTTTATTTTTATTTTTTATTTCTGCTGTAATAATTTGGCTGCTATCTATTTACAAGTCTTAGTACATATTTTTGTATTAATTGATCTTGATGAAAGCAAAGTGTTTTGTAGAAAAAAGGTTAATTTTATATGCAATTGGCTTGAAGTAAAGTTGGTTTCATAGTTTTTTTTATATAAAGAATTGTTGTTGTTACGGTAGCAACAGAATTGACAAGCCATTTTATAATAGTTTGGGCTGTCTCTAGTTCTATTAGACATGTAAAAGTCATCTGAATATGACAATAAGATCATCAGCAGTTGAGGTAGCTTATTTAAATTATTATTAATAATTTCAGTTCTCCTAAAATTATGTCACTCTGGATAATAGGGGTTATCTTTTACAGAGTAAAGACATGAAGTCATTATTTATCGGCAATGATCAATATATGGGTGAAAATATTTTATCTATAAATATGATATTGTGGTAGTGATTTTAAAGTAATCTTGTTCCAATACCTATTTCCTTCTAGATTTCCCTTCATTTTATCCTTTTGTTTTGGATTTTCTAATGCTAGTTAAAATGCAGATAGCTCACTCAGCATTTCCTGATTCACCTCTGGGACCAGATGCATATCATGAATATGAATCCTTATTGGTTCAAGATTATGAAGAACTAATTAAGAAATCTGGAACAAAATCTGGACAGGCAAAACTTAACTTTGAAGATGGAGGACGTCCACAGTTTCCTTCTACCAAAGAGGATGTTCCTCATCTTGAAGCTAGTTCAAGTGGAAGAGATTTTTATGAACACAATCCATTAGACTACATTGAAGATGCAGTGCTGAAATTGGCAGTTTCTGTTCATCATTTTCCCATGATTTTTTGCCCCATTTCACCAAGAGTATTTGTTCTACCTTCAGAAGGATTGGTGGCTGAAGCATATTTATCAGCTGAACATGAAGATTCCATTAGTCCTGGTTTGCCTCCCTTGAGTACTGGCGTGCTTTCTGATGCTGATGATGTACCTCCAGGGGCAACTCTTACTGCACACTTTCTCTACCAATTGGCGGCCAAGGTAACAAGTGACATGCATTCTTTTGCTGAAATGTGTGCATACTTCTGGCGACTCGATTTCAGATTTTTTTTATTTTTATTTCCCAGGATTCCTGTATTACATACTGTATACAATTCTGCTAAAAGTCTGGCCTGTCTCTCTGTTTCAATCTTGTACATTAAATCATAAAGATTTGTGATAGAACAGCGGCAGACCAGCATCATACCATCTTACTTGGGTACACACAACGCCATTTTGAAAAAAAATTACTTGAGTAATACTATCTTGTTAATAGTGTTGCCCATTAAAATAGACCATGCTCTAGATGTCCTTTTTGAAATTTGATATTTGATAGAACAAAATGGTGTTGTTTGATCCATGTAGCCAATTCCACTTACTGGGGAAAATGTTTTCGTTGTATTAAGAGTATAGCTAATTTTTCCATTACAATGACAGTAACTTTCGTTTTGTTTGTTGTTTCTCCTCCAATCTGTTACTTTGACCATCAATTCTTGTGTTGATGATGTAGATGGACTTGAAAATGGAAATTTTCTCCCTTGGGGATATATCAAAAACTGTTGGAAAATTTTTGACAGACATGTCAAGTCTTTATGACGTAGGCCGCCGAAAACGATCAGCAGGGCTATTGCTCATTGATCGCACACTCGATCTCCTCACTCCTTGCTGTCATGGGGACTCACTTATTGATCGTATGTTTTCTTCTGTGCCTCGTAGAAATAGAACAACTTCCCATGCCCAAGGTAAAGGTTCAGGAAACCAACTCAAACTTGGTTCTTCCAACATGCAGCGTGCTCCTTTAGATGTTCAGATACCACTTGCAAAGATCCTTAATGAGGAAGATAGGCAACTAGACAATTTTCGGCTTTTAGAATGTGTTGAAGCTTTTTTGAGTGGGTGGAATTCTGGTAATTGTGATTCTCAGATTACAGGCTTGATTAATCCTAGTCAGAAAATTCATGACAAGCCTAGTAACTCTGACATAGAGATACTTACTGGGTCTTTTGTCTCCTCTGAGAATTTTCGTGGAATGCCGTTGTTGGAAGCTATACTAGATAGAAGAACAAAAGATGGGGCCTTACTGGTAAAGAAATGGCTACAAGAAACTCTGCGCAGGGAAAATGTTACTGTGAATGTGAAATCTCGTCCAGGTCTTGTTACAAAGCTAGAGTTGCAAGCTATGATCAAAGCATTATCCAGGAGCCAATCATCTTTGTTAAGGAACAAAGGAATTATCCAATTAGCTGCAGCCACGTTATTAGCCCTTGAGGAATCAAATTTTGCCAAATGGGATGCATTTAGCAGTGCGGAGAAAATTCTGAGTGTAAGTTCTGGTGAAACCAGTCAAAGTCTTGCTGCTCAAATTGGTGATCTCATCAATAAAAGTGCTCTGTTGGGATCACACGCAAATAAAGGAAATAGGGAGATCTCAAAGGGTGTACTTTCTTTCCTAGATGCTTTGCTGTTGATGATCGTTGGATATATATTGGCTGGTGAGAATTTTCCAACATCTGGTTCTGATGGGCCATTTTCTTGGCAAGAGGAACATTTGTTAAAAGAAGCCGTTGTAGATGCTCTTCTTGAAAATCCATCAGTAGCAAATCTCAAGTTTCTAGATGGACTAAGGGAAGAGCTTGAAACTAATGTAAGCAAGTTAAAATCAGAAGAAGCTGCTGAAGAACCTTCAAAACTAGAGATTGATGATTTTGATGATGATCAGTGGGGCAAATGGGGCGATGAAGATGGTGATGATGACAATAAAATCGAACAAGTGTATGGTGACATGCAACTGAAGTTGGAGTTGCGTGATAGGGTGGATAACCTTTTCAAATTTCTTCATAAGTTATCTAATATGAAAAGAAAGAATATACCACTGAGGGTTGGATCATTGACCGTTGAAGGCCATTTCGGTGAGGATACCTATATGGGAAAAGGATTACTTTATAAGCTATTAACAAGGGTGCTGGGCAAATACGATGTGCCTGGGTTAGAATATCATTCTTCCACTGTGGGGCGACTGTTTAAGAGTGGGTTTGGAAGATTTGGCCTTGGTCAGGTGATTATGGTTTCTTTTTTTTGTTGGTACGATGATTATGGTTTCTTAACCTATACAGGACTATTGCCTTAGTAGTCCAGTTCTTCAAACATGCTAATCATTCTTTTCTTTTTTCCCTCCTTTCTTCCTTCTATGCATCCTATCAATACAATTGTTGCAGGCCAAACCAAGTCTTGCCGATCAAAATGTCATTTTGGTGTTTGTTATTGGGGGCATTAACGGAGTCGAGGTGAAATTCTTGAATGTCTTGATCTTCTTTATACCTCTATTAACAGGATGGCCATCGTATTGGCATGAAAGTTTTATAAACATGACAAATGTTTTCTAAAAGATGACATGCCGGTTCTCCTTTTTCTTTATACCCCCTCTGTGTTTAATTTAAATCATGATCCTTTGTTAGCATGGGAAAGTAAAATGACACAATTTTTCAACTTCTGTGTAACATAGGTGCGTGAAGCTCATGAGGCATTGGCTGAAAGCGGAAGACCTGATATAGAGTTACTTGTTGGTGGAACAACTCTTCTTACTCCTGATGACATGCTCAATTTACTGCTAGGGGACTCGAGTTACATTTAATTCTTTCATCATTATGAAAAGTGGGGGACAGAAATCAAATTGAATTTGGTTTTCCCAAATCCTGTATGTTGTAAGGTTTCAACTGTTATATAGGCAGTTCAAAATTTATTTTCTTTCTTTACATAAGGAAAATAGAGAGAAAATAATAATTTTCTTTTATAGTCTAAGTTGGCTTTCTAAAAATATAAATCAAAGTTGAAGAACTTGGATGAATTACCCTTCAAGGAAGCATGGATATAGCAGAAGGGCAAGCATTGGGTGTCTGGTACAGTTTCAATACTAGTACACCTTTGACACAATTCGTGTCTTGCTAGTGTTTTCATTGTTACAGCATGGGACACTGTGGACATATGGTTGATACGTGCTTTTAATTCAGGATAAGACTATGAAATCCAGGATGAGAAATCCATCCAACAATAAATAACCCTTAACCAAACAGGACTGAATATCAGTGTTATTAAACTCAGCTTGAATTGTTCGGGTTGACCCGAAACTCGGTGAACCGATGATCTAATTGATTTAAGCCTAGTAATAGACCGGTTATGTATCAGATATGGTGAAAACCGGTTTGAACCGATCAGTTTTTATCAAAATCGGTGACTTGTTCATGTCACCAAAAAATTGGCTGTCGCCTGTCAAGCATTATTTTTAAAAAAATCAAATAATAAAAATTGTTCACAATTTTTAAAAATCATAACTCTTCCCAAATGAAACCTTTACTTGCAATTGCCGGTTTCACTATTTTCTCTAACACTTACCTTTTCCGATCTTTGATTCTCATCTTTTTTTTACTTCTTAAGGTCATTAGCTCCGAGCTTGGGTATCTCCTTCTTGCATTCTAGGGGATTGTTTTCAACCACAATAATATCTATTTAGCCTCATCCTTGTTCTAGCTTTGTCACTTTCTTTGCACTCTTTACAAGCTCCACTTCATTGGTGAGGACTACGTGTGTTCATGCTTTTCATTGTTTTTAATTTCATTTTAAAAATCAAGTCCTTAATAAAATATTTTTTTGGTGTGTCTTGTCTTGAATCATAAAAAATCAGGTGAGTTTTTAATAAAATATTATTAAAATATTCATTTTAAAAATTCCAAATTCTCAATTGTGAATTTATCTAGTCAAGATAATTATACTAGAAATTGTCTGCGTAGCATTAGTGTATCTTGAATCAAAACTGGTTTACAACTTCTTATATGATTTGATGTGTAAAATACATAATAAATTTAACAATTTTTTTTTATGGAAACTGGTGTGAAAAGACTTTCAAATTCTACATTGGATTTTTAATTATAAAACAAATTTCATCCACCATCGTTAAATTATAATTTCATCTAATGATGGAGAATTACGGGATAAAACAAATTCTTTTACCTTTTTCTCTCTTCCACCGCCTCCTAACCTTTCCCTGCTCTCCCATCCAAATGGCGAACGTCGATGAACTCGTAACTTCCTTGACCTCAGACATCAACACCACACCGACAAAGATCCATTTATCCTTTTCTTTATGGGATTTGGATTTAGCGATGGAATCTGAATGGAAGTGACCGTCTCCACTCTACTAAAAATACTATTTTCTTATTTTATGAAAACCCCACACCTATTTGCAGGTTCCACATTGCAAATCCATTACTATACCAATCCACAACCTTAATTTAATTTAATTAGATCCATTTTATTGTTTCAATTGAAGTTGTATGAATTGTGAGGATGTTGTGTATAGGTCGAGTTGCTGCGATCTCATACTCAATAAATTCGTTTAAATTGTGCGATTCTTGTTGTAGGGGCAACAGATTCATCCATGTAAACACCGCAAGATGACACCTGATAGCTTTAGAATCCAACTCTTCTTTTGGACCCTCACTCGATTTTGATGCTACTGATAAAAATGCTTCTGCTGGGTAAAAGGGTGGGAAACGTTGAGAAGAAAGAAAGGGTTAAAAGAGTTTATCTTATCCCACAAATCTCTACCGTTTGATGAGATTATAATCTAACGATATTGAGAGAGGTAGGCAAAGGTAGACAGAATAACATATCCCATAAAACATAGATTTACATGTACTTACTCAGGTCAACTAGTTTGGCCAGTAACCTATCGATTGAATCAGTGACGCGATAACCTATGAAGCACCGACACTTCAAAAATCTTGACGTGTCGTGTCCGACACTCTCGGACACTCCGACACTCCCCGACACTCCAACACGCGTTATAGAAATTCAAAAAAAGATTTAAAGGTTGCGTTGCGTTGAGTTTTTAGTTCCAACTATTATATTCGTTGGATTAGGATTACTATTTTATTGAGTTTAATATAAATATTTGGGATATCTTATGTTTTTTTGCAAAATTTATGAATATTATAATTTTAGATTTTTTTTGTTAAATTATTGAATATTAAATATAATATACACTACATAAATTAAAAATATTATTTAATATCAAAACGTGTCCTAACGTGTCGAAACCTAATATTTTTTAGAATTAACGTGTCGGAGTGTCGTGTCGTATCGTGTCACGTGTCCCGTGTTGGTATCGGTGCTACATAGGCGATAACACAATAACCCAATATGCTGGTCAAGTTTAATATCATTGTTGAATATTGTGTCCTTAGCCCTCATCTTTTCAAATGACACTTCTTAAACAACCATAATTTTTAAACCTTCTATATGACGCTTATAATCTTAAAAACCTTTAAAAAATAGTCCTAATTTTTAGAAACAGTGCCAACAAACAGAGTGATTGTCATGCATACCTTTAGAAATAATGTACATGAAGGAAATGAAACTAAAATTATACAAATTAGTCGTTAGTGGCAGAGTCAAGAAATAATTTTAGCTCATGCTAAAAAAACTCAGCCAGTGCCAAAGCTGTATTATTTTTGAAAACTCAGCCAGTACCAAGACTGTACCATAATATTTAAAGAAAATCTATACTTTTTTCGAAAATCAGCCAATGTCAAGGCTCCAATTGGTCTCAACGTGGCTCCACCACTGTTAGCAATACATTATGAAAATTGGACAAATCGTGATAATTACTTAGCAAATTGCTTGAATAAATTTCCATGTATGGTTAAAATCGTTATGGAGGAAACGGTTTAAGCGGTTAACTATAAAGTAGGTGCTTAGTTAATTATGATTTGAACTTATAATTGAATTGATAAGAATAAATATATAATTAAGTTCTTGAAAGCTGAAAGCTGAAAGTAGGTGCCAAAGTCCTTTTATATTTTATTCAATGGAGACAATATATGTTTGTCTAGATAAGCACTTGCAAGCTGAAAGTTTTTTGTTTTGTTGAGTTACTCAAAAAATTTAACCCTTAAGTTGCAGCTTATGTATGAGATCTAGTTCGGTGATGTGAAGAATACAACATTCCTGAGTTTGGCCATTCATCATAGATTAACTTCCCGAAAGATAGATTGACTTCCCGAGAGAGGTTCAGAGTTTTGGGTTCACTTTGTCAAAAAAAAAAAGTTATACTGCAAAGACAAACCCCAAAAAAAATTATAGAGAGAGAAAAAAATTACAATGAACTAGGAAAAAAATAGAGGCAAATAGAGAAATTGAGAATTGAAAGTGGAAAAATGACATTAACAAGGACAGATATGTTATTTGAGAGTGGAGAAGATAGATTCGGGATTGTCGGAAAGAAAGACCTTAGCTGTGGCAATAATGTGAGTGAAAGATGTCAATGCCCACGGGAGAGATCTTTGCAAGTACATCTTCTTCATCACAAGCAGGGGAGAAGAGAATAAGGGTGGAGTCAAAGAGAAAGGGTGGAGTCAGAGAGAGAGGAGTAAAAAGGGTTTATTTATCTTTTGAATTTGAACCGTTAGATAAGATTGTAATCCAACGATGTTGAGAGATGTAGATAAAAGTAGACATAATAACCTATACCTTAAAAAATAAACTTATTAGCAAGCTAATGGTTGTGTTTGATGCATTTTGAGAGACAACATAAGTAGAATAACGCAATACTTGTTTGACCTGAGTTTAATGGATAAATTACTTATATTTTCTCTACAGAATTTTATCTCCTGATTAACGGATAGCAAAAAAATTAAGAGTTTTGCTTTGTACCTTCGGTTAATTTTTATTTTTTTTTAGGTTGAACTAATTTAGTAATGAAAGAAAGCGTTTTTACCATCAACTACATGGATCAATTGGCATAAATTATTTGTTCCAACTTAATTAGTGTTAAAATTTGCTAAAGAGAATTTTATTGTCTTGTAATTCTACCCAGTTCCAATGGATCGGTAGAGTAATCGATGAACCGATAATAAAATATAAAAGGAAAAAAGTATTTTATTTTCTTCTAAATCAAACTTACACAGAAAGTGAACTTATTAATAAGTTGACAGTTTCAGAAAAAACGAACTTATTAGTAAATTGGTAATTTTTGACATACATTTATATAAAAGAAATTTTTTAAGAATTAAAAGAACACAAATCACATATCGCGACGGTTTATTTATCACAAAAAATGTATATTATTCTCGTAACCAATTTAATCATTGTTAATTTTTGAAAATTTAATGGCTATAATTTATTGAAATTAATAATTAATTAATAAGTATGACTCAATAAATATTATTAATTTTTAATAAATTATAACTACTAGATTGACGAAAATCAAAAATAATTAAATTAATTATAAAAGTGGTAAATTTTTCTGATGATAATAATCAAATTACATATTTATTCAATTGATAATCAGACCGAACAAAACTCACTTTTCTTATTCCTGGTTTTACAAAAAAAAAACCGAACCACTGTGCATCCCCAAACCCCTCCAAAACCCACCTCTTCTGTCTCTCTTTCACACTCTCCCATGGCGACACTGAGGCTTCTCCTCTCCCAAGCTCGCCGCCATTGCCTCACTAAAAACCCTTCACAATTCCACTCTCCTCTTTCTCTCACCTCTCACAACAGATCCTTTTCTTCTTCCGAATCAGACTCAAACCCTCCAACGAGGACACCCTTCGAATCGGTTCCAATCCAACCCGTTTCTTACCCAGTCAAACCCAAAGACCCGCCGCCACGGCCTCCGGTCACCGAACCCTCCGAAACAGCTCAGTCCCTCCGCCAGCAGCAGCCACTGCCTCCTCAGCCGGCGGACGGCCCGGAATCGGGGCGGGCCTGGACCCGGGAAGAAGCTCGGTACGTGAAGGATTCCCCGTCGATAACGCCGGTGTCGTATCCCCTAAGGGTGGCGCCGCTCCCCGAGGATAAGGCCGCTCCGGCGGCGGAAGAGAAGGTGAATGTGGAAATGGAGAAAGAGAGGAGGAGGATTGAGGCGGAGGATCAGTTGAGGATGAGGATGGTGAGAGCTGTGGAAGAGGAAAAGATGAAGGTCCCTTTTCCAATGCTGATCAAGCCAAAGCAAAATGAGAAGCCACCTCTCTTTGATTTGACCGAGGCTATTCGCCAAGTTAAGGTCTGATATTTCAAATTATGGTTTGTGTGCTTGTTGCAATGTGGTTATTAGGTAGTAATTCGAAATTTATGTTCCAATTTTCTTTCTATAAATTCAGTGGTGGTTGAGTTCTGTTACTCATTTTTTTTTATCAGTAGAATGAAGTAATTAGTTAGAGGGTTAGCCTTTCTTTTTCTTTTCTTTTTTTGGAAATATTCCATCTGTTCATCATTTAGAGACTAGTCCGATTCGGGATGAGTCCAGGATTAAGGCTTTAAACCCTTCCCAAATGTGATCCTGAGAGGATCGAACACATATTCTCACCCCCATCTGCTCAGCTTCCATGCACCAACTGAGCTATCATCATTTGGTAGAGAATTAGCCTTCTAGCAGTGGTAAAATTGCACCTTTGGGTTCGAGTTCATGAGATAGCCTCTCTACAAAAATATAAGGGTAGAAAAGTGATAAGAACCTTGAGGCGCACCACCCCAAAAGCTAGCTCTAAGGGTGAGAGTGCTCTAGGCCTTATAAACCCCACATTAGTTGCCCATACAACCAATGTGGGATTCCAAGTCCCATACCTTACAAATGGGATCATAACATTCCACCACGCTCTGCAGTCCCGGCGCCCACGCGGGCTGGCTTTGCGCTAGTCTTTTACTAGACCCGGGCGAACACTGCAATGTCGGCGTCACCACCCGCTCCGCTCGATTGCAACCGGGAGGCATAGTGGAAGGCTCTGATACCATTTGATAAGAACCTTGAGGTGCTCCACCCCAAAAGCTAGCTCAAAGGGTGGGAGTGCCCAAGGCCTTATAAACCCCACATTAGTTGCTCATACAACCAACGTGGGACTCCAAATCCCATACCATGCAAATGAGATCGTAACAAAAAGTGAGGGATCTTGTGCATCAGGATTTGTCCTTTTTTAAGTGTGATGGGTGTAATATAATGGTGGATTGTTGTGAATACCCGGTCATTACAATTTTGAATTCAATTTTTATATGGGTTATAGATGTTTCCTGAAGCTGCTTCACCTGTCGAGTTTTGAATTCAAATATTCATTAATTGAAACAACTCTACTGGCATGTCCCTTTGTAAGAGAGTGGACTCTCCACAGTACAGTTTACTGTGACTGTCACTCACAGCCTCTGAGTCTCAGTTAGTAATACTATCATTGCTAATTGGTTAGGTTGTTAGATGGTTAATGATTCAGTTAGACATTAAGTTATGTACTTAGCTGTCAGAGCAGATCTGTTATCTGTTATAGCTTCTGCTATAAGCTACTCATAGACACCTTTGTCTATAAATTTATGTGTACCCTTCATTCAGACTAGTTAATGAAGTACCTCAGAATTTTCTTACACATTTTCTCTTTCTCTTCTCTGTTTTCTTTCACTTACCTAGGTTACCTCTCAAACTATTACCCATTCACTCTGGCTGACCACCTTTCACTTTCGCCAAGTTAAGGTCTGATATTTCAAATTATGGTTTGTGTGCTTGTTGCAATGTGGTTATTAGGTAGTAATTCGAAATTTATGTTCCAATTTTCTTTCTATAAATTCAGTGGTGGTTGAGTTCTGTTACTCATTTTTTTTTATCAGTAGAATGAAGTAATTAGTTAGAGGGTTAGCCTTTCTTTTTCTTTTTCTTTTTTTGGAAATATTCCATCTGTTCATCATTTAGAGACTAGTCCGATTCGGGATGAGTCCAGGATTAAGGCTTTAAACCCTTCCCAAATGTGATCCTGAGAGGATCGAACACATATTCTCACCCCCACCTGCTCAGCTTCCATGCACCAACTGAGCTATCATCATTTGGTAGAGAATTAGCCTTCTAGCAGTGGTAAAATTGCACCTTTGGGTTCGAGTTCATGAGATAGCCTCTCTACAAAAATATAAGGGTAGAAAAGTGATAAGAACCTTGAGGCGCACCACCCCAAAAGCTAGCTCAAAGGGTGAGAGTGCTCTAGGCCTTATAAACCCCACATTAGTTGCCCATACAACCAATGTGGGATTCCAAGTCCCATACCTTACAAATGGGATCATAACATTCCACCACGCTCTGCAGTCCCGGCGCCCACGCGGGCTGGCTTTGCGCTAGTCTTTTACTAGACCCGGGCGAACACTGCAATGTCGGCGTCACCACCCGCTCCGCTCGATTGCAACCGGGAGGCATAGTGGAAGGCTCTGATACCATTTGATAAGAACCTTGAGGTGCTCCACCCCAAAAGCTAGCTCAAAGGGTGGGAGTGCCCAAGGCCTTATAAACCCCACATTAGTTGCCCATACAACCAACGTGGGACTCCAAATCCCATACCATGCAAATGAGATCGTAACAAAAAGTGAGGGATCTTGTGCATCAGGATTTGTCCTTTTTTAAGTGTGATGGGTGTAATATAATGGTGGATTGTTGTGAATACCCGGTCATTACAATTTTGAATTCAATTTTTATATGGGTTATAGATGTTTCCTGAAGCTGCTTCACCTGTCGAGTTTTGAATTCAAATATTCATTAATTGAAACAACTCTACTGGCATGTCCCTTTGTAAGAGAGTGGACTCTCCACAGTACAGTTTACTGTGACTGTCACTCACAGCCTCTGAGTCTCAGTTAGTAATACTATCATTGCTAATTGGTTAGGTTGTTAGATGGTTAATGATTCAGTTAGACATTAAGTTATGTACTTAGCTGTCAGAGCAGATCTGTTATCTGTTATAGCTTCTGCTATAAGCTACTCATAGACACCTTTGTCTATAAATTTATGTGTACCCTTCATTCAGACTAGTTAATGAAGTACCTCAGAATTTTCTTACACATTTTCTCTTTCTCTTCTCTGTTTTCTTTCACTTACCTAGGTTACCTCTCAAACTATTACCCATTCACTCTGGCTGACCTGAAACATTTTCTCTATAACAAATAGTGCTAATTAACGAATGCTTAGTATAGCTAAAAGTCAGAAACAATTTGAATGTTTGTGTGTGTTTTGGTCTTTAGAGTTCCAAATGTTTTAGTGATTCATAAATTTTTCATACATTCACTTATATTATACCGAAGTTTTGGTGCCTGAGTGGTTAGGGGGTACTCCGCATCCTTTAGCAATAATCTTCTTCATGTTTTACCTGAAATGATCCTTCAGTTACTGTCATATAATATTGTTACATATTGTTCAGGCCAACGCCAAGGCGAAGTTTGATGAAAGCGTTGAAGCACATGTGAGATTGGGTATTGATTCAAAGCGAACAGAACTGGTATATGTCAATATTTTTTTTTTCCTTTTCCCTGTTTTGCATGCGTTTGTTTGTTTGTGTATCTATGTGCTTGAGTGATTCTTTGAATACCATGTAAATTTTAAATTTGACCTATTGACTTAAGTACTGTAGGGTTTGGCTTTCATACTACAAGTTATCCTCTTAAAACTTGTGAGACATGCTCTTTTAAGATTAATATCCACTAGTTCTTGCTACTGTCTACTGACTAAACAACTAGGTTCTCATGTATATAAAAGCCGTGTGCTAGAAGACTTTGCCCTGTCTATAATGGCTCTAAACCCTAAACCTCAAATCACCTATCCTATATCTTTATATATTCTTTGAATTGATAGTTAGAGAAAGGGGTCCTTTAGTTTAATAATACTCAGCAAACGTGGAACTCTATGCTCTTTTCTGAAACTGCTGAGCTGTATAACATTAGCTTTGCTTAGGACATGTTTTTGATAGATATCTGAAAATGTCTTCGACTGACTTTGCCTTTTTGAATGATCTAAGCATTGGATGCTTTAAATTTATTGTTATGTTGAATGAATTATTTTGGAAATTTTCTTTGAAGACTGCGATCAAACAGGATCTACAAAATTTTCATAATTTTGTATCCTGTGAACTTTTTTGTGCTTATACATCTCATATCATTGTTATATGCTGTTTTGTTTTTCTTTTCTTTCTTTTTCTTTTTTGGTTAAAGGTGTTATATGTAATCCTTTGCTTTAGAAGATAACGGTTCCAACTCTGGCAGGCAGTTCGTGGTACTGTGATTCTACCTCATGGTGCTCCTAAGGTAACTTACGAGTGTTAAGCAATCGATACAATGGTAGTTTTGTCATCTAATTATTCATATCTTGCAGGCCGTTAGTGTGGCTGTTTTTGCGGAAGGGGCAGAGGCAGAGGAAGCTAAAGCTGCAGGAGCGGATATAGTTGGTGGTAAAGAGCTTATTGAGGAGATTGCTAGTAATGAACTGATCACTTTCTCCTTGTCATTTTATTAATAGTATTAATTGAATCTGAAATATATTGTATATTCAAGTGTATAAGTCTGTACAAGGAGGCTCTCTATTTATAGAGACTAAAAGACCTAATGGGATGACCTAATGGGCCAAGCCCACAATCTAGACTATTCTAGACTATTCGAATATTAATAAATTAATATTATTTCTAACACTCCCCCTCAAGTTGGTGCGTATATATCAAAAGCTCCCAGCTTGTTACAAATATGATCTATTCGGGGACCTCTAAGAGCTTTAGTGAATACATCCGCAAGTTGATCATTGGAATTGACAAATGCTGTCTCGATCTCCCTTGACTGGATCTTTTCTCTAACAAAATGACAGTCAATTTTTATATGCTTGGTCCTCTCATGAAAGACTGGGTTAGAGGATATAAGCAAAGCGGCTTGGTTGTCACAAATGAGCTTCATAGGCCTTTGTTCACAGAGATGGAGTTCCTTCAGCAATTGTCTCAGCCAGATGAGCTCACAGGTTGCATTTGCCATTGCCCGATATTCTGCCTCCGCACTGGATCTGGCGACCACAGTTTGCTTCTTACTCTTCCAAGAGATCAAATTTCCTCCGAAGAGAACACAATACCCTGAGGTGGATCGTCTATCTGAAGGAGAACCTGCCCAGTCAGCATCTGAATAACTAGAGATCTCTGAACTCCCTTTATTTGTATATAATAAACCTCTTCCTGACGCCTTTTTAATATATCGGAGAATTCTAATAACTGCATCCCAATGGGAGTCACAGGGAGAATCAAGAAATTGTCTTGCAACACTCACTGCGAAGGAGATATCTGGCCTTGTCACAGTAAGATAATTCAATTTTCCAACTAGTCGGCGATAGCGACTAGGATCTGGCAGTGGCTCCCCCTGTCCTGGTAATAACTTAACATTGGGATCCATAGGTGTATCAATGGGTTTACAGCCTAACATGCCAGTCTCATCTAGGATATCCAGTGCATACTTCCTCTGACAGATGGAAATGCCCCGCCTAGACTGTGCAACTTCGATCCCCAAGAAATATCGAAGTCTGCCAAGATCTTTGGTCTGAAATTGATTGAATAAATGCTCTTTCAACTGATCAATCCCGGTCTGATCACTGCCTGTAATGATAATGTCATCAACATAGACCAGGAGATAAACGCACTGGCCAGAAGAGCTATGCCGGTAAAAGACAGAATGATCGGCTTTGCTTCTGATTAAGCCAAAGGATTCAACAACTGAACTAAAGCGGCTAAACCAGGCCCGAGGAGATTGCTTCAGGCCATATAAATATTTCCGAAGTTTACATGTCATTCCAGAACTCTCCCCCTGAGCAACAAAACCTGGTGGTTGCTCCATATAAACTTCCTCCTGCAAGTCACCATGTAGAAAAGCATTCTTAATATCAAGTTGGAGAAGAGGCCAGTAATGAATGGCGGCAAGGGCAAGAAACAGGCGAACAGAAGCCATCTTAGCAACAGGAGAAAAGGTATCCCCATAATCAAGACCAAAGATCTGTGTGTATCCCTTGGCCACTAAGCGAGCTTTAAGGCGATCAATAGTGCCATCAGGACCAACTTTAACTGTGAACACCCATCGACAACCAACAACAGACTTCCCGGGAAGAGCACGAACAAGATCCCAAGTGCCATTGGAGTGAAGTGCCTGCATTTCATCAAGCATCGCCTGGCGCCACTCTGGATGAGATAGTGCTTCACTTGTGGTTTTAGGGATGGAAACAGAAGAGAGACTAGAAACAAAAGTAAAATGTTGTGAAGAAAGTCTGTCATAACTCAAGAAAGAATAAAGGGGATGAGGATTTCGAGTGGATCGAATACCTTTCCGAAGGGCAATGGGAGGAGTCTCTGATGGAGGATCCGGAGGAGAAGAGCCGACGTGAAAGGGCGATGAGTCATCAAGAGGCAAAGTCAGAGGAGGTGCAGGCTGACGACGCTGGTATGTGAGGAGAGGACGATCTGCAGGTATGGAGGTAATTGGTTGCTCCTCTGGAATAGGGTCACCTGCAGCTGGTAAAGACAAGTCAAGAAAAGGAACAGGAAGGACCTGATCAACTTGTGACACTGGAGACGGAGTAGAGTGAAAAGGCTGCTGATCAAGGAAAGTGACATCAGTAGAAACGATATAACGCTTGAGATCAGGAGAATAGCAACGATACCCTTTTTGAAAACGGGTATACCCAAGGAAAATACATTTGAAGGCCTGGGATGTCAACTTGTCTTTACCTGGAGTAAGATCATGAACAAAACAAGTACAGCCAAAAATATGTAAAGGCAGAGGATAAGAAGGTGCTCCGGAAAACAAAATACTGTGGGGAACATCATTATTTAGCACAGAAGAGGGCATGCGGTTGATAAGGAAACATGAGGTGATAATAGCATCTGCCCAAAAACGGAGTGGGACGTTCATATGAATGAGAAGAGTACGTGCAGTTTCAACTAGATGTCTATTTTTACGTTCAGCGACTCCATTTTGTTGTGGAGTGTGGGGACAGGTAGTCTGGTGTATCGTCCCATGTGTATCCAGAAATTTAGAAAATTCAAGAGACACATACTCTTTTGCATTATCACTGCGCAAGATTTGAATAGAAGCACCAAATTGAGTTTTTATTTCTGCACAAAACTTTTGATAAATTGAAAATAACTCAGAACGATTTTTCATTAAATAAACCCAAGTGCAACGGGAGAAATTATCAATAAAGGTTACAAAATACTGAAAACCCAAAACTGACATAGTCCGACTCGGACCCAAATATCAGAATGAACAATAGAAAAGGGAGCAGCAACTCTCTTATTGAGTCTACTAGCAAAGGAAGAGCGAGTATGCTTTCCCTGTTGACAAGACTGACAATTCAAAGACTTAAGACCTGACAAAAAAGGAACCATATGCTGAAGCTTCGAGAGACTTGGATGACCCAGACGGCTATGGAGAAGCTCAGGAGACTCTGTGAGAGAGCATGCAACTGGAGCAGAGGGTGCATGCAGATAGTAGAGACCTCGTGACTCACCGCCCGCTCCAATCGTCTTCCTCATACCCGGATCCTGCATAGAAAAAGACTGTTTAGAAAAGGTGATAGAGCAAGAAAGAGAATGAGTCTATTGACTAACAGAAATTAAATTAAAAGGAATGCCAGGGATGTAATAAACAGAGGTTAAAGTCAAGAAGGGAGTTGGTTTGCCCAATGCCACGAGCAGGAGCCTTGGTGCCATCAGCAAGAGTAACAGAGGGAAGATTATTAGAAAAGGTAAGGGAAGTAAAAAGATCCTTATTACCACAAAGATGATCAGTAGCACCTGAGTCTATTATCCAGGGTCCAAGAGACGATTGAGAAAAACAAGCAACATGATTACCAGTATCTGGAGCAGGTGGCTGAGAAGAACTCTTCTGGAGAAGGGTCTCATAGTCTGCAGCGGAAATAGTCACTGATCCGGTAGAGGGCGGCACAACATCTGTTTGAGCAAAGTTCATATGTGGTGGCTTCAAGTGAGGTACTTTCTATAACAACGTTCTTCAATGTGGCCCAGATTTTGGCAATAATTACACCGAGGCCTTTGTCCTCGGCCACCCTGTCCATACGACATTGTCTGTCCGTGCCCGCCTGGGCCATATGATGTCATGGGCCCGCGACCGCCTTGTCCGCGGCCACGACCGCGTCCACCATTGTTCCAATTACCACGAGAGACTAAAGCAGCAGAATCAGACAAGAGAGCAGTAGAGTCAGTAGCTGGCACGTGTGCGGGGGCCACCTTATCTTGAAGATTCAGAAGGCGCTGAAAGGTCTGGGATATGCTGGGAATCTCAGTACTGGTTAGAATGTTCTCACGAACACTTTCTAATCCGTCAGGGAGACCAGAGAGAGTCACAATCGTAAAGAGACGCTCCACTTGCGTCCTGTACACTGTAGCATTCGCAGCATGAGGTAACATAGCCAAAAATTCCTGCATCAAAGAACGAATCTTACCAACATAAACTTCCATACGAGCTTCGGGTGATTTGCGCAAATCCATCATCTGGGAGACAATGGAATAAAGTTGCTGAATATCATTGGTGTAGAGGTTTTTGGCTTCCATCCACACATCATAGCAGGTCTCAAAGGGAGTGAAAATATTGAGAAGAGATGAATCAATGGATTGCCAAAGAATACTGAGGAGCTGAGCATCAACTTTCTCCCATTCAGTCATCTTTGGAAATATCAGTCTTCTTAGTGGTGAGATGTTTGTCATGGCCTTGACCGGTAAACCAGATCTTAACGGAGGTAGACCAGGTCTTGTAAGTGGCAGATCCGGTCAATTTCAGAGTTGTGATAGATGGAATAGCACTTGAAATGATGCCGGAAGAATGTTTACTGGTTCCTTCCATCAGGAACAGCGATCAGACAACCAAAAAACTGTAAAATTCACGCGAAAAAGGAACAAAGTAGCGACTTTTGCACTGGAAACCCTCGAACGGAAGAGACCCACAACGAACGGGCACCGGATCTGGAAGGAGGAGGCAGAGGCGAGCCTGTCTGCCTTGGTTTGGCCGGAAAAGGTGGCCGGAACAGTGCACACGCGCCGGAGAGAGGTGGCGCGTGAGGCCCACGCGCAGACGGCTGTGGTGGCGCGTGGAGGCCCGTGCGGCGGCCGTTTGGGACGGGTCTTGGACAGAAATGGTCGCCGGCGTGAGGGGATCCTGATCGCGTGGTTTCTCGCCGGAAAGGTGGCCGGAACAGTGATGAATAGTGACGGAACAGTGTTTCTGGCGATGTGAACAGTGTTTTCCGGTCAAATAATGAAGGAGGATGACGATCTGAGATCGAAAAAGGGTCTAACAATGTTTGGAGGGTTGAAAAAGGTTGCCGGTATGATGCACGGCGGTAAAAAGGTTTGCCGGTATGATGCACGGCAGTAAAAAGAAAGGAAAAGATATATATGCGGAAGCAGAGCCCTCAGATCGAGAGCTCTGATACCAAATTGAATCTGAAATATATTGTATATTGAAGTGTATAAGTCTGTACAAGGAGGCTCTCTATTTATAGAGACTAAAAGACCTAATGGGATGACCTAATGGGCCAAGTCCACAATCTAGACTATTCTAATAATAATAAATTAATATTATTTCTAACAGTATTGATAGCTTTTTTCCATCCTATGTTTGTGAAGTGAAATGTGCAGTTGCAGAGCATATTGTCTCTTGTTGGTTCTATGCTTGCTTTCTTATTTTGTTAGATGCTATATTCATCTCTCTCTGTACGTGCATGCTCTCTTTGTGGTATATGCTAGCTTATATGTATCTATTTTTCTGCTTTCCTGTCTCTGCACACATCTAAACTAGTATGTTCTCATTTAGGCAAATGTGTGACTTTGGATTTCTTCATTATGTGTTTAAGTTAAGAGACATTTTAAGTGTCACCGAACAGTGTTATTCATGTCTAAAAGGGCTTATACTCTTATAGGTGGTAATAATAAGCTCAAAGTTGATAAGTGCTTCTCAACTCCTGGAATGGCTCCTCATCTTGGAAAGGTCTTTTGAATTTCAATGGTCTTTTACTTGTAGAATCATCTAAATTAGTGATTTCTTATTCTAAGGCTGATATGAACTGTTATGCAGATAGCTCAATATCTTAGAAAGCGCAGACTAATGCCAGACAAGAAAGTTAGTTTCTCAATGTGTATTGACATTTTATTTTCTTTTTTGAAATACAGGGCATAAGTGGATTGTATTAAAGTCTTATTTGGTTGTACTAATATATTTTACAGCTAGGTACTCTGACTAGTGATATTGCTGGGCAGTTGAAAGAGCTAAGACGGGGTCGCGTTGAATTTAAAATGGAGAGTAAAGCAATTGTGCATGTGGGAGTTGGAAAGGTAATCTCATGTTCTCTTCCAACTCCTTATAGACTTCGTTACAAAAGGAATAAGTGTGTTGCATGAGATGTCCTGGTATGCTTACAATAATATCCACAGGTAAGCTACACAGAAGACTCTTTACGGGAGAACATTGGTGCATTTATGAATTCTCTATTACTTGCAAAGCCTGCTGGCTTAAAGAAGAGTAAGTAGCACATATATCCCTATGCTTTCTTTCTCTCTCTCTCTCTCTCTCTCCTCTATCTATCTTGTTTTGATAAAAGAAAAGATGAAATGTCCGATCAGAACTGATACCACCCCCTCCTGACAGAGGAAAATCTTAATGTTGTAGAGATATTTCCCTAGTACATAGGTGAGAAAAACAGACATGTTTCCTGCCAATAGTTGCTTACAAGTGTTTAAGGCTTTGATTAGCAAGTGCCCCAATCTGGCTTCTAAGATTACTAAGCATGCTTGAAACTTGGGTCTTAAACCTTTTAAGACTCCAGAGCTGGGAGTGAACATATCAAAACTTTGATTGGGGGCCTCTATTTTTTTTCTTTTCAAAACTGCATTATTTTGTCTTACAGAATTCAGCAAATTTAAGTTCCATGCTATAAATATTCAACTGTTACAATTAATTGTACTGCCTAAATATTATGTATACAGTTATGGTGGTTTTTCCCTGTTATTATAATGTAAGGCGTGACTTGATTTTATGTGGAACACTGATGTGGTCTATGTAAGTGATATTTTAAGATTGAGATGACATACAATTTTGACATGTTTAAAATTGAGACTCATCCTTTGCACTGAGGTTGACATTATCTTTATAAGTGACTCGTATAGCTTGAGCCTATCATTTTCCTAGATTCTTGTCAGCTACCGAGATCATTTGGTTACTAGTGCTACATTTGATAGATGGCAGAAGTGTAAAAACAGTAAGGATTGGAAGCTAGGAAATTCCTAGGAATACTATTGATAACTAAATATTTAAGTTGTGAGTTTGTAACTCATTTTAGGAATAGCAAGTACTGCTAGCAAGTAAATCAGTTTGGTAAAATTGCTAAATGTGATGTAGGGATGAAATGTAAAAACAATATGGGCTAGGTATTCTGGCGCAGAACCTTGTGATTTACCATGAAGGCATGAAGCAACGAAAACCCTTGCAATAATATTGATAACTGCAAATTTATGCTGTAACTCATGTTACACATATCAAGTACTTCTATAAGTATAATAAAAAATTGGCTAACAAGTTAACAAAGTTTTAGAATTTTCATGAACCATATGGTATCCTTCGAGGACCTTGATTGATTCTTACATATTTAGGACCGACAAAGTTTCAGGATTTAACATATCAGAAATAGAGCTTTCTGGGTTGGCATAATGGTAAAAAATAAGATGATTGATGGTTCATTGGGTTGATGGTAATTCAGATTTGCAGACAATAGCTGGGTTTTAGGTTTGTGGCTGTTTGGGTACTGTGAGCAGTACCTGCAAAATTGGAGTTTGGGGGAGACAGATTGATGAAAGAATCAGCTAAGGTTTTGATCGGGTAAATTTTTTTTATTGTCCCTAAAATATTTGATTTAGGCAGATAAAATTAAAAGAAACGGTAGAGATTGAGAAAAAGAAAAGAACTTGCTAAGGTTTGATTACATCACACAATCTAGAAGAGAGAATATACTCTCATAAATTGTATGTCTGATAGTCTGTCTAAGAGAAAGCATTTCAACTTACAATAACTCCTAGGTGGCATGAACTCCATTCCATATGCAATCCAGTCCAAGGAAATACAAAAATAAGTAAAATACCTCTAGGACTGTAAATTAAAAACTAAATAAAGTATCAATTCAAATAAGGCTAGTGAGCGTAAATAACAAGGATATAGTAAGGTTTTGGAATAAGAAAATCATCCAGTAAGTCAAAATTAAACCAAAATATTGAGATAATTTTATCTTTAATCTTATGCCTTCTTGATCTAGTGTATCCTGTGTTGTATTAAACTTTTAATTTTTGTCACACAGAATCCTATTTGGGATAAAGGCTTTAGAGATGCTATTTGGGGTGCTGAATTTCTGTTTTAACATGGTGTGTCATGATTACCGATTTTATTTGCAAAGATCATTTCTACTATCTTATATTTGTCTTCTTTGCTGTCCAGCGTCCAAATATGCTGGGTATGTGCTGTCTGTCCATATATGCAGCACGGTAAGCCCTTGCATCTCATTCTTTGTTTCATTCTTTTATCTTAATTTTATTGATTTAAGGTTGAAAAGTAACCGTTTCATTCTTGCATTTTATATTAATGTTACTGAAATAAAATTAAAATTATAAAATTGAATGTGCATAAAAAATCCCCCCTCCTTCCCATCTGGAAACAGGAAGACAGTAATGCACTTTGAATTTTGAAATGGTGGAACATCCGTAAACAGTTTGCTGGTAATAATTAATTTAAAACAGGGATTTTATTTGCGGAGTGATTCGTAGAGGAATTTTATTTTTCATTATGACATAAAAGAGGAAAATATTAGAAAGAAGGACTTCTGTTGGAAATGACCTACGGTGGAGGATAATTAAAGGATTTGTTAGAATTAGATAGTATTCTCCAGCATGTTTTGGCCTTTTTTATATCTGTGGATATTTGATGCACCTTTGTTGTGGTGTCATCTTGACATCACCCGTCAAGTCAAACTTGCTTCCAGTGAGGAACCATGAAATTTGAGGAAGTGACTGGTATGGATTTTTCTTCTAGCCACCTTGTGCATTGAGTATCTCGGATATTTTTCAAGGACCATACATTAGCAAATAGAATTAACTCTCCTCCCTACAATCCTAAATTTCAGAATAAATTCATGAATCTTTAAAGAAGAATCATGTAAGTGTAAATTTTTCAATTTTAATATAATCAATATGTTAATGATGTTCAGGTTCATCTTCAGAAAAAATGAGTCTTTTTTTCTTTTGGTTTTCAAATAAAATTTGTATTATTCACTGTGTAGGCTACTAATATTTGCAATATTGTTAGCGTTTTACAGAATACAAATATCTTTTCAGGGTGCAAAATAATATATCTTGCACATTGTCAAATTCCTGTGCCTGTTTTCTTTCTTTTAAGTTATTCAGTGCTATCGTATTGATGCAGATGGGCCCGGGATTACCTGTATCAATACAATCGTTATCCAAAGCAGCAGATAACTACACGAAAGTGCATCTGGTATGAATCATGTGGATAAGGAGCACTTGTGGGCTTTCAACATGAATTCAAGTTTTGATAAACATTTGTTGCCGTAGTTTTTTGGTTTATTACCATTGATTTTGTAATGTTTGTTTTGTGATATATGTGGCAATAAGTTATTGATATTTGACATTTTTGTGAGCTTAACGAACTTTCTGGTTGCCCTCTGGTGTAGTATGATCCTTATTGCAACAGTGAGAAAATATGGCATCCTGAATGTATTCTTTTAAAGTAATATTGAGCTAACCCTTTGATTATCTGGATTTAACCCTTTGTGTAAATTGATTTTATACACCGATGCTTGTTTATTTTATTCACTCCATTACACTGGAATAATTCTCTCTCTCTCTCTCTCTCTCTTTTTTTTTTTTTTTTTTTGAAATCTTAGAAGTGAATTTACAGCATTACATGAAATTTCATCCTATGCATTTTCGTGCCCCCCTTTAAATGATCTGGGCCCCGGAGGCGGGATATTTCTTTTTCTTAAGCTCATATATATCTCCTTGTATTGATAATAAACCACACACTTATGTTTGGTTTGAGATTGAGTTTGATACGCATGGTAATTTCACTTTATACTTTCATTAAATGGATATTTTCATGTTTATTCGCAAAAAGTATGGAATACTTATTTGTTTTGATGCCTCATTCTATATATCTAAGAATTCACATTTTCTATCAAATGGTGGTAGCTCATTTGATAGCAAACGAGCGGAGTAAGTTGAAAGGAAAAGAACTTGGTTTGATCTTTACATATCATTTTCAGGAGATATTTAAATATCTTCATCTCTGATCTGTCCTGCATCGGAGTGGGGGGAGGGGAATGAAACTCGTCTCAAAAAAATAAATAGAATTGAGTTAACTCAAAAGAAGAAAAAAAGAATCAACATTATCTGGCAGATGTAATATTTCAATACTTCATGAAATGAGACGTAAGTTGCCAAGACATAACCTCAATAGAGAACATCATCCAAAGCTACAAACAACAATCACTAATAATCAAAACCCATGCCAATTACCAAATGAAACCACGCCCAAAGTCAAAACCTCTATTACCCTGCAACCCGGATAGCATGCTGCTATAACCACAACGCACCACATCTATCACCCTTTTATTGCCTTGCTATATCATCCTTTTACGTGTCTTCCCTAGTTAAGGCACCTCCACGAAAAGAAGTAGAAACCCAAAACTTGGCACTACTCAAAAATGACATCGTTTCACGAAGGACTACATTGGTTGATGAAAAAAAAAATTAAAAAAGAAATTATGACATATTTATGTCATTGACTTTATAATGCATGTGAAGAAAAAATGTCTAACAAGTGGAACATGTCGGTTCATTTATATGTGATTATTGTTTGATATTTAAAATTAGAATGCGTTGATTTTGATGGTGATTACATATAAATACAAATATAGCTAAAATATTTTTGTAATTTATGTGTATGTTTAATATTTATACATTCGATTTACTTAATATTAAATCCAAAATAAAAAGAGAAACATATGTTTGTGAACTTGAAGTAACTGATATGAATTATAATTTTAGATTCTTCAATCGACGTGTTTGGTGATAATTTATAAAATTATTAAAATAGTCGAAAGAAATGGTATAATTAGGTCAATTGTCTACGGGGGCTTGCAGCCCAATCTATGGTGGGTTAGATCTGGATTAATATGTTTCGTAAAAAATTGAACATGGGGTTAAAGTTTTTTTTTTTTTTTTAAATAAGTCCTGGCCTAACCTATAAGTTTAAGGGTTTATCATCTATCATTTAACATGACCACAAAAATTTTCCTACACACACAACATTTTGTGGGGCCCGCAGCAAAAAAAAAAAAAAACTTCGGCACGCAAAACGAATCTCTATAACATAACACAATCACTTTTCCTACAACATAACTCTTATAAAACCCTAAGTTTAAAGGTCAATATATGTCATATTATTTTTAACAAGCTGTTTAATGGGGATGACGATAAAAGCGAGGTGGACTTGGAGGATGCTTATGATGATTTGAATAGAAGATTTGCGCGCAGAATTAATACACAGGAAGTTAAGGAGGCTTTAAAGAGGATGAAGACTAATAAAGCCTTGCGACCTGATGGTGTCCCTATTGAAGTGTGAAAAGGCCTGAGGGATGTGGCAATAGAATGATTGACCAACCTTTTCAATAAGATTCTTCAAAAGAAAAGATGTCTGATGCATGAAGGAAAACTATGATTATGCTTATTTACAAAAACAAGGGAGATATATAGAATTGTTCTAACTATAGAGACATTAAGCTAATGAGCCATACTATGAAGTTGTGGGAGAGAGTTATTGAACATCGTTTTAGAAGAGACACCAAGGTTTCTGTAAATCAATTTGGATTTATGCCAGGAAGATGTACCATGGAAGCCATTTTCTTGATGCGACAATTAATGGAAAGATATCGAGAAAAGAAGAAGGACTTACATATGATCTTCATAGATCTTGAGAAAGAATATGATAGGGTTCCAAGGAATGTTTTATGGTGGGTTATGGAGAAGAAAAAAGTACCATCAAAGTATGTAAAGGCAATCAAGGATATGTATGATGGGGCGACTACTTGTGTGAAAGCTTGTAACGGAATATCAAGTTATTTTCCTATCTCGGTAGGTGTACACCAAGGTTTGGCTTTAGGTCCTTATCTCTTTGCCTTAGTTATGGATGAACTAACAAAAATATTCAAGAGGAAGTGCCATAGTGTATGCTTTTTGCAGATGATATTGTGCTTATTGATGAGAACAAAGACGGTGTTAATAAAAAACTTGAATTGTGGAGAAGCACATTGGACTCTAAAGGATTCACGTTAAGTCAGAGCAGGACTGAGTATATGAAGTGTGAGGTTTTCTCTATCAAGAGATGAAGACCAAGATCCCGTGCACCTACTTGATCAAGAAGTACCCAAGAAATATGATTTTAGATACCTGGGATCCATTTTGCAAAAAGGTGGAGAGATCAATGAGGATGTAAATCATAGAATCAGAGCAGGGTGGATGAAATGATGTAGTGCATCTGGGTTTTTGTGTGACCACAAAATCCCCCTTAAGTTAAAAGAAAAATTCTATAGAATAGCAGTAAAACCTACAACGCTATATGGAGCTGAATGTTGGCCAGCACATAGGCAAAATAAGCATAAAATGGGAGTAGCAGAGATGAGGATGTTAAGGTGGATGTTTGGTTATACGATGATGGATAAGATGAGAAATGAAGATATTCGACGAAAGGTAGGTGTACTACCGGTGGATGAAAATATGAGAGAACATAGATTGTGGTAGTTTAGGCATGTAATGAGAAGGCCCCATGGATGCTCCCGTAAGAACAAAAGTTTGTTACCAAGAGCTCAACACAAAGAAAGGTAGAGGTAGACCGAAACTTACTTGGGGAAAGGTAGTAAAGCAAGACTTAATGGATTGGGATATAGATTGGCAGATGCTGTGCCTTAGAACGAAATGGAGAAAATATATATGCATAGTAGAGGGTTAGACCCGTTGTTATTCCTATGTTCCAGATGATCCCTTTTTAGTCATTTTTCCTCTTCATCTGCCCCCTTTCTTCTTTCCCCCTTCTTTTTTTCACTTATATATATATTATTACTATTTTATTTATTTTTATTATAATTATTATTTTTTATTTTTTATTTTTTATTTATCTTTTTTCAACCCTTTCACATCTTTTATTTGAGTTCATGTACTACCGATCTCAATTAATTTGGGATAAAGGTGTTGTTGATGTTGATTTGACAATTTTAAATAATAAAATAATAATGATATTTTTTTGGGTACAATTATTATTTTTAGTAGGTCCAAGACATAGGCTGATAGATCTAGTCATATCTTTTATTTTATTTTTCAAAAGAAGAAGCCTATAATTTAATCCATATCACGTTCATAAACTATAAAATAAACCAGATTCAACATATTTTATATAAATATGATTAAAGCCTATTCTAGCCTATTTATATCTAGTCAAAAGTTATGAATTGAGTTGTTCAACCTCGCAAGTTGGGTCCAATTTTATTTTGGGAGATTTGTTCATATGCAAGTCTAGACCGAATTACTTATTAAAACTATGGTATGCGAATTCGGCCAGACAACTTTAAAGACTTAAAAAAACAAAATACTTTTATACGTGTTTTCTTCGTTTAATTACTATATATATATATATATATATATATATATATATATATATATATATATATATTAAAACTATGGTATGCGAATTCGGCCAGACAACTTTAAAGACTTAAAAAAACAAAATACTTTTATACGTGTTTTCTTCGTTTAATTACTATATATATATATATATATAGGGTTTGGTGTTTGTCATTTTAGGAGAGAGATAGACACAGAAAAACGGAAATCATGGGAGAGAGAAAGTGAGTGGTTTTTTTTTAATTTAAAATTCAAATTTTCTGTGTCTGTATCTCTCTTAAAATGACATAACTTTCTGTCATTTAAAATGATAAGCACTTTTTCCATATATATATATATATATATATATATATATGGAAAAATATAATAAATTTATAACCTATTAAAGTTAGTAAGATTTAATTATTTTTAATTTTTAAAACATTTTCAATGATAGTATGGATCATGGGCTAACACAACCATTGCAGTTAAGATTGAGTTGAGTACACTATTTGCCCAGTCGTTTAAAATTTTAAGAGTTTCATGAGGATTATGTCAAAAAATTAATTTTTGTCGATAGTAAAATTTAGTCGAAGTTGGAGTAGTGATCCCATGCATCTTAGTTTTTTTAGCCATTATGTTACTTTGCTAATCATTATGGTAAAAAATTCAACGAGTGTATTCCTCAAGGCATACGGAAAAGAAATTTTTGTAAAGAAACCAATTCAACAACGTTCTTGCTAGTGTCGTATTTAATGATTTAAATTTACAATATATTATTTCCATCGACTTTCTTGGTTGGTGTATGTTAAAGAAGTATAATATAAAATTATTAAAACCCCTTACTTAATAACTTAAGTTTTTAAGTGAAATAATTATTTATCGCCATTTTTTTGAAAAAACTGAAGGAGACTATTACACCTTCGTACTTAACATATCATGACCATGGGGGTAATAACTACAATGTTTGGATAAATATATGCAAATATGAGCGATGAAATTTCATGAAAATATATGAGAATCTTAAATATTGAACCCCACTTCTAATTC